AAATTCTCAGGTTTGATCAACCAAATGGCAGCTGGCAAGAGAAGTAAAATAATAAAAAAGTTAATATCTGTCTATCTATTTTGTTATTGTTAATTTGTTATGTTACTTTACATGTAATGTGTTTGATAAAATAAATGAAGACAACATGTTGTACTCAATACTCATCTTCCTTTATTAAATCATTAATTTTTAGCAAAAATACTTTATTAGAAATTATGATTGTTTCTGTACAAAAGACTTATAATGTTTACTGAAGGATTGTCAAATTTCGTGAAGATACATGTATGGTATTGTATTGAACGACATATCAATACAATCGTATCACGGCTTCACGATAAGATAGTCGTATTGCATTACTGTATCGCCATACCTTCAGTAGTAAACTGACAAGATTTAATTTACTTCACACTTAAAAGTTTTATACATGAAAATTGCACACCCTGAAACTTAGTTACTGAAAATAACCATTAACCGTAAATTACCGTTTCAGTTTAAAGGCAGAATTAAAATTAGGTAGAACCCAACTTAACGAATACTAGTTATGTTTCTGATTTCCAACAATCAGATCTGTCTAACCAGCAATCTGTAAACTAATGAATAAACAATGGAACTGAATTGGGTTTTGTTAGATCTTCAATGTTCACACCTGTTTTCAAGTAAAAAAACAAACAAACCAGCTTAATGTTACACTTCAATGAATACTGAAATGATTTGGGTTTGATGTGTCCTCACATCCAGATCGACTTACTTAGAAGCTGTAAAACCATTCAAGAAACAAGTGAATAAATGTTAGTTAAACTGGAGTTTATCTTCAATTTACCCAGTAGGATAGAACAGACATAAATAAAAGTTGTAACTAAGCTGGATACTCGTAAGTCTGTCTGGAATATTTAGATTCTTGTCACCACAAGAACTTTATTTTATAAGAAGTTAATCAAGAAACTATTCCCTATCAGATCCCCCATCTCCTAAACCTTTCGAACTCAGAATTTAATGCTCAGTGATAAAAATACCGAACTTTTCATTCCCAAGTAATTGCATAATGTTGAGATGAGCCAGTTTTAGGGTTTTTCATCAGTACCTTCCTTCTGTTTATGTGAGAGTTCTTCCTGAGCTGATGACCATGGAAATATTTCACAAATCTTCTCTTTTAACAGACTTTTGTTAAGGTTGATTGATTAAATGTTGATGAGCTTCACACAATATAGTAAGCAACACAAAACAACAGGTTTTGATTTGAATAATTAAAGTGTAGAGTTCTTGATGTGTGTGTTTTCTTATAGCAAAGCCACATCAGGCTATCTGCTGTGTCTGCCGAGGCGAATCGAACCCCTGATTTTAGCATTGTAAATTCAAAGACTTACCACTGTCCCACCAGGGGACAGAGCTGTTGATAACAAACCCTGATGAGCTTCCAACAAAGCTAGACTATTCAGTTTATTAGGCTTATGTGGTTCGTTTTTCAAACAAATAAAATAATTTGTTTTTAATGGGACACGAGCTGTTAATTTTTAGATAAAAAAGGCTATTCTTCTTCTTCCGTGTAATCATACTGTTTGCATTTTAGTGTGATTTGAATAATCTTTTTTAGTTTCTTGTTTAGGTTCATCATCAGAAATGACATTACTACATTCTTTTTGGTTTATATTGCTTGCAGATGAATTAAAAATTTCACTTGCATTCTTACTATTCATTGATAAGTCTAAAGGAACAGTATCACCACGACATGAGGTCCTCAGGTCCAATGGCTGATCCTCTTGGTAATGAGAATGTTGAAAGTATATGCACGAAGCACAGAGAGGACACTTCTCTGTGGTAACATCCCATTCATGGACGTAAGGCTTAGCGTGATAATGTTCACTAACTAATGGAACGTCCCATTCATAGACGTAAGGCTTAGCGTGATAATTTCCACTAACTAATGAAATAACTGATGAGCTGTTTCCGACATTTTTTGAGAGGTTTAGAGGGTCAGCAGAATCTCTTTCATATAATTCATTAAGATAGCAAGTTGTGTACTGGTCAGACATTTTATAACTATCACACACTGTTTCTTTTTCCATCAAGTTTTCTTTTCCTTCACTATGCGCGTGTTTACTTATTTGAGAATGTTCCACGTAGTTTCCATCTCCTTTGCTCGATAGTTTCCGTTTCTTCTGACTCTGGACCATAGAAGAAACGGAGGTACTACTACATTTGTATGTCAATCGTCTTCGGAAGCAACTGGTCACGTTCGTTTCGGCCAAAATGTTTCCTGTTTGTAGACTTTTCCTGTTCTCGTTCTGCCAAGTTTTTTTCACAGCTTTACTTCCACTTACTTCTGTTAAACTGGTGTTTTGGAATGTTTGATTCTGTTTGACTGAAACTGCAATAGTTTGTGAATGTTTCTGCTTAGTTCTGGCAAGATGTGAATTGCTAGGAAAGAGAACAATTTATAAGTGTTAAAGAAATTAAAAGCTCTTTGTAGAATATGACTAGGTTTACTGTGATTAAAATCATGGTAAATATTGTCTGATTTTAAATGTTTTGGTAATATTCTAGTAATATGTGACAATAGTTGTGCTATTTTATTCACAATTATATTAGAAAAATTGCAGTTAATAATAGAATGTGCTATAATAAAGCTACAAATTAAAGTTTGTTAACAATGTACACAGAAGTTTAGATGAAGAAATGGAACCCGTTGAGATAATGTATACAGAAGATTAGATGAAAAAATGGAACCCGTTGAGATAATGTACACAGAAGTTTAGATGAAAAAATGGAATCCGTTAAGATAATGTACACAGAAGTTTAGATGAAAAAATGGAATCCGTTAAGATAATGTACACAGAAGTTTAGATGAAAAATGGAACCTGTTATGA